AAACGACCAAAAGTCATGAATGAGACACAAGAAGAGACGCAAAACAAGAAGTGATAAGTAAGAAGAAGAATGAAAACAGACCGACACAAAATAAGAATTAAAATGACGAAGAAGAAACGCCAAACATTACAAACGAGACACACAGCTGTGAACTGTTTCATCCATCCTCGTATGATTTGACAGAGATTCCAGCAGAACGTCAGGAAGAAGCTCCTGCAGAAGCCCCAGAGAGCAGCGATCACACAGGTCAGTGACAAGTTCACACGTTTGTTTCTTTGTTTTTTTAGACTGAGTCTCCACATATGGTGGTTTGATGCTTCTTCTTTTTCTTGGATGTTGGTAAAGTGAATATCCTCGAACCACAAGAACAGGAAGCACAAAGCAACACAAATGAGACACAAAACAATACAAATGAGACACACAGCTGTGAACTGTTTCATCCATCCTCGTATGATTTGACAGAGATTCCAGCAGAGCATCAGGTAGAAGCTCCTGTCCAGGTCCACAGACCTGCAGAAGGCCCAGAGAGCAGCGATCACACAGGTCAGACCAAACACAGAGTTTTGGACCATAGACTGTTACAACCAGCATTTTTAACCACATCCTGACATTTTACAGTCTAAAAATGGACAAACTTACTGTGCTACATCTCATTTAAACATACTTCTTGCTGAAGGAATCTGAATTCAGTCGTCTGGGTGTCGGTTTGTGACGATTATTTTGTCGTTTCACAGCGACGACAGAAGTCCAACAGACTGAGAGCAGCAGTGAAGCAGGTGAGATAAACGTCACCATGGTGTCAAAAAAAATACCCAAACTACAAAATATAAACCAAAAAGAGGCATTTTTAGATCCTACATGTGTGCTTTCATAATGTCACACGATAAAAGTGGTTGAAACTGAGTAAGATTTTGCATGTTTAGGACGATTCTGAACTTGAAATGCGATTCTTTGGTTGTGGTCGTTGAACAGGGGCGTCAGCAGAGGAGCAACAGACGTCCAGTGACGACCTAAAAGCTGCTTCGACCGCAGTTTCCTGCAATGGAACTGGTAAGCTGAAGGTTTTTACGTCGACAAAACCAACTTGATTCACTTTTCTGCAGCTGAAACTTGGATTTAACCA